CGCCGTTACATGCGCAGAAGAGCAACTGTGTCTGGCTGGAATATTGTTTCGCGGTTTCATGGAAAAAAAAAGGCATAACTAAACGGAGTGATATTTTTTCGGAAGAACATCAGTCATAGCCTGTATGCGTTTAAGGAAAAATTAGTATCTGAATATTCTGACCTACAGCCTGGAGTAGACAAAGAGATGGACACCCCGCAGGTAATAGGGAATTCTGGGAATAATACAACCTTCAAAAATTGACCAACGCTTGGAACAGGCGTATTAACCTCTCAGAACGTTTCTGTACAGAAATAATATATAAGCACGAAGATTACGAAGGTCCAATTGTGGAAATTGACCTCTTAGTTTGATTTGGTTCAATCTAAACATTTTCTGATTTTTCTATTCACACTGTTTCCCAAGAACTCTACTGCAATGACTCCAATGGAACATGTCAACTCAGACTTTCACTTTCAAGCGAAAATGCGAAGAAAAAGTCGAAATGATGTATCAACCTGTATTCGCAAAAGTTTGCTTCATCGTGCGAATTCCACGAGGGGACAAGACGATGCAGGGCGTTGCCGGGGTGACTCTCAGCAACTCACATCGATCAAGTTCGACAATGGTAAACTACTACTTTTCTGCAAGTAGATTGTTTGGTTTTTGTGCTGCTACAATCCACTTGCTCGGTTTTGAAATCGCTGTTAAAACTTTTTTTTTAAAATCAGAGTAGGAAAAGTATCAGAAAACTTTATGTTCCTTACTGCGCTTATTTAAGCATCTCTGGCAAATAAAGTAATAAAGTAGGTTATTCATGAAGAACATTTCTTTCAAATATGTAAAACTTTTTTTAAAAATCGCAACGGTTCTTTCATACGCTTTGGCTCACTATAGGACTTTAGTTATCCACTTTGCAAAAGATATATCTCCAAAGAGACCATTAAAGTGGCTGTACTTTTATTTTATTATTTGAGTTTTCTTCACAATTTTATTGCTTAACTTCAGCTTCTCGTGGATTCTCGTGGACGGAATAACAAGCCATTATATTTTAATTATCATATCATCTATTACATCATACAATATTATCGTTATACGGCGACTTCTCGCGTACTCTCTTACTGTAGATTGGCCTTTTTCAGGTAACCCATCTGCGCGGGGTTAACTCCCTCCCTGCCATGAAATGC